CAGATCCAATTGAAGACGAAACATTAACCCAAGAAGAAATAGATTATTCCCTAGCAACAAATACGTACACAACCGCAGAGGAACGTGAAAAATTAAGCATTTTATTAAATAAATACCAGCTAAAGAAGATGAAGATGTTTTATACGGCCCCTACCATATATCAGCCCTCAAGAAATATTTGGAACCAACCCGAGCAATAAAAGCTGTGATCGACGAGATAGATAATGATGACCCTACCTTCAAAGACATTGTATATCAATAAATTTCATAATGTGTTTCATCCATCAATAGACTTTTGTGCATCATCATCTCTAATCAAATTGTGCCATGGAGCTTAATCGCGAGTGCGTGACCCCATAAATTGTGTTTTCCATAAACTAATACCCAGGTGATAAAGTTTATAGACAATACTCACTTACTAATAAACAGTGATCTCCTTAATAACAAAGAAACAATAAAGTTATTTGATATTGAACAGTATGGAACAACAGCCATAATATCCCTTTCTTCCCATGCCAGGCCATGAACACTATTCTATTTTCCCCATTTTAATGTTATTGTCCTACACATTTGTTAATTTAGATTATAATTTTGTTGTATTATCACCCAATGTTCTATCATCCAGAAAATCAATCATTTAATGTTATTCATACCTATCTTTAAGTATCATTCATATTAATGATTCATGATCCCATTTCATATTTTGTCGAAATCTGTATTTCATTTCATAGCATACAGATTTCTGTGGGGATAATTTGTAATATTACATGTCATTCATTCATCATTAACATTAATTTCTCTATTATTTTGTATATTTTCTCCCATAATGTATGTTAATGCCCCTGATAATGTGTTATCAGTTATTTAATATGTTCCTCCTTGTTAATGTGTTATTTTATCCAATTTTGTTCAATGTTATATAATATCCCATCACCCCACAGAAACATCATCCTATTTTATGTTACAATATAATATTTATGCCAATTCTCTCCATATCTATCCTGTACTTATCAAAAACCAACAATAATCATTTACTTAGAATAATATATAACAAGCTGCTATACCCGTGCTTTGCAACGGGAAGAAAATGTGACCTAGAGAGCTTAAGTGGTGCTTGTGTGTGTTTTAAAACACAGCAACTCTATGATTTAGTTTGAAAATGTAAACTGATTAAAAGGGTAAACATACGTACAGTACTTTCAAACCCCTACTTTTGATGTCAATAGATCTAGAAGAATATGACAACATACCTTAGTGTAGCAATAGCATAAATTGCTTCATCTATATAATTAATACGCTACATGAAACTTTGTCGGTTGAACTACTCCGCCATTTCTTAACCGATTTTATCCATTGACGTCTCATTGGAAAGAGCGTGTCGCGTAGATTTGCAAACTGGCCTTACATTTTTTTAAAGTCCCTTGGGCTCTGCCCCAGTGGCTTTGAAAGTTCCCATGTTATCCTTATGAAGAACATAATTGTTTACATTTTGATCAGCTGTATAATTTAATTGCTGTTGTTTATTTTTCAATTCAATGAAACGCATTGAGTACATTTATTTACTATTTGAGTTTGTGTAAACATAACCCCCAAGACGGATCGTGATAGTATGATTGTAACTTAAATTTGTGAATTTATCGTTGTTTTGTGTAGCTACAATTTGTTTATTTGTTGTTTTTTTCTTTAAATGCCTCCGACGCTACGACAACGAAACATAGACAGGAGGCGTAATCGTGATAACGACCGCAGCTACAGAACAGTGACACGTTATAGGCTCAACTATTAGGTTAAAAATGCGCCCTAACACTATCCCAAAACAACATTTCATTCTCAATTGGCCCTCTATCAATGACCTGTGTTGCCTGCACAGCGAGGCATTTTGAGAAGGAAAAAACCGACCGGAATTCCTTAGGTTTATCAATAACGAAGATAAACATGGTCTGAGTTACATACCGGTAATCTTTGGGTTGACTCTTTTAAATTTATTTTAAATCTGACTGTTATTTGTTTTGAAATAACTCCTGTAATACTTTGTAATTGCTCGAATTCGAGCAACATGTACACTAGTAATTAATAATGAATGACATGTTTTTCCATAATTCTTCAATTATAGTCAAGCCTCTTCACATGTAGCTTACTATATAAATTTAAAAAAATAAACTTTGAGCAATACTTTACAAAACGTATATAACCTCACTTTAAAATCAAACATAACCCTCCTCAATCTACATAAAGCGTCACAAACATATTTTTCGAGTAAATAAACACACCAGTTCATTGTACTGACCAGCTGTTTCATTAACTAAATTAAATTAAATCATTTATACATTGGAAGCATGCCAGGCGTAGCCCTTTGGAAATCAGCCTGTGGGGCAGAGCCCTTAGGAAATTCGTCCATATCAATACTTTTCGGCAAATCTACACACTCTAAGCTTCATTTTGATGTACCATATGCCTATATATTTATTTGGTAAATGGCCTTAACCGTTTACATAAAATTTGATTGTATCACTTTAATAATATAATAGATTATAAGAAAATTGCAATATAGTAATAACATCTTAAATATAGTATTTTTTTTCAAAATTATCCAAAGAAAATCAAAATTACTGTGGCAAGTGTTATTTATGTGAATTAACCAGCTGTACATCATTTCAACAATGGACATGGACTTCCTGAGCTTCTACCATTGCCTCTTCCTCAGATCCTGCCAACTCTTTACAGTGTGAACACCATTTTATTAAACATTGTGTTTGATTTAAATTAAATTCATAATCCCAAAGTATAATCTAAATTTTTAATTTCTTATCATCCAAAAGTATTCGGGACAAGTGCCTTGAGAAGGGTACCAAATTTTAACCAACCCCTATTTTATTTATTACATATGATACAAAGGTGAAGACAGACACTCCAAATTTGGTAACCATAATCCATCTTGTTTAACTAAGGACAAATTTAATCTTCATTGGACATTTAATCAGCATAGCCTGATAGGCCCAATTAACTTAACTCATCAAGATATACATATTACAAATTGAACTTTTATTCAAAATTTAATCTTCAAATTTTATTTTATTTCATTAAATTCAGTGAAACCATTTGGAATCTTTCTTTGGACATTAACATATTGCATTACTAGCATCATGAACCTAGCCTATTTCAGAACAATAATTAAATTATTTGTATTTGCATTTTTATTGCCTAATATATCATTCGAACCGGCACGACCACCCCTCCCTGAGATTAAGAGCTCATATTTAAATATTAATTAGTACTTTAGAAGAAACCAACCCAATATAAGCCTAGAATCTTTTCATCCACTTTGGAAGCCCCACCATTTTGAAAATTTACCATTGTTAACTTAGACCCTGTAGCTAATTCAACCAATAACTTATGTTATATTTGTATTTCATTAATAAATTTTATATTTTGTAACTTACCAAATCTATTTGTTCTTAAAATAATTCATCTATATATATAAAAGGCAAAGCCCTCACTGACTGACTGACTGACTGACTGACTGACTGACTCACTCACTCACTCATCACTAATTCTCCCACTTCCCACTTACCTAGGAGGCTGAAATTTGGTACACTGATTCTTTAGGCATTAAATAGGAAAACTAAGTGGTTTTTATTCTGATCGGACTCTCGGGCTCCGCCCCAGTGGCTCTGGAGTTTCCCATGTTAACCTAATGAGTACTCATATTTAAATGGAATTAATGAATCATAACAGCTGTTTCAATTAAACAAGTTGGTTCTGTTCTATGATATTCAATAGCATTAAAGTTACAAGGATTACCAACAGAGTGCAGCACTATTATTTTTTTAAATATTTGACAACAGCTAATTTGAAACCAAAAGGTGAGTGAGCGTAGCGAACGAACTTCAACCCGGAGGCGAGGTAGCGTAGCGAACGAGCTAACCTGAAGGCAATTGAGCGCAGCGAACGAGCTCCAACCGTAAAGGTGAGTGAGCGTAGCGAACGAACTTCAACCAGGACGTGTGAGCGCAGCGAACGAGCTCCAACCTAAAGGTGAGTGAGCGTAGCGAACGAACTTCAACCAGGACGTGATTGGGCCATGCGAACGAGCTCAAGTATGAAGTTAAACTGGGCAAAGCCCGCGGGTACAGCTAGTATATTATAAGATTAAGATAAAGACTTACTTCATTAGACAGAAATAAAACACAAGTTAGGAATTATCTTTATTAAGAAATGACTTTGAGTTCTATGTGGGCTAACTTAATAGCCAAAGGAATTTTGTAGGCCTAAGTTAATGAATAGTCTACAGAAACCAGAAAGCTTTATGGTGCGTAGCAAAAGGTGAGCAGTGTTGAGCGTGGGAATGAATTAATGTATCTGCAATGCTATAATGCTATTGGAAGAGACCGTAGACTGTAGGTTAAAATGATTACGAAGCACGAACCGATACATATTTTCGATACATGCAATAGATTACAATCAAAATTTACAACTGAGTTGATAACAGCTGATTTTAGTGACTTTTACTCCATAGAGGCTAAAAACAATTTTTACTCTCTAAAGATTAAAAATGCTACTTTAGACTCGCAACGTATGCATTAAAAAATATGAACCCTTGATGACTACGCTCAATTTAGTGGATGCTTCTGCGAACGCCACCTAGTTCTTTTGTCTCAGACATTGCTTTAAGTAAGATCTTCATTTACATTTTTGTTCGTAACTTTTTTTGTATTGGTAACTTTCTCTCAATTGTACTGTTTTTGTTGTTATTTTGTTGTGACTTTTTGGTTTTAGTTTTTGTTTTTATAACTTATCGATCCACCATGCATCTGTTCACCATTGCTTTTGTAATGAAGAATGCTTTATACAATAAAATACTTATGACTTAAGAGGACAGTTGACGCAACCCGCATGACGGGACATATTGTTTTAGAACTAGATGCTAGTAGCGATCGGCCAAGTGCCAGCTTAGATGTCACGAGTTGTACCTATATTACCGCATTTCATTACTTGTGTACCTTGTTGGATGAAGGGTTGATGGGTATATCACAGTGCCACAGTGTCCAGGCCCAGTGACGTGGAGGGTTGGTCTTGTCCTGGTCTGTGAGTTGCGCCACATGCCAGGTACGTCCCCCGTCTGCTGTCACATCTACCCGCACAATCTTATGGCCTCCCCCAGAGAATGCATAACCTGTCAATATAGTTTATAATCTTATAGTAGAAATACTAACTGTCTATGCCCAATTTTTTAAACAGCTCTTATTACTAAGGAAAGTATCCCGGATAACGCACAGTCATGCTACAATACTAGAAGAAAAGCCTTAAGAGAAAATAGTCACAACCAATCTTTTCTTTTCAAATGAAAAGCCCATCCATGCAGAAGAAGGTTCTTATGCACTTGCTTCAAAATAATGAAAATACCCCCGTCGCAGCAAACCTGCATACTAAGCGAATTTCCATTTACCCGGCTTGATTTCTACTAAAATATTCCCTATAAATTTTCAGATTTATTTCCTATTTAAATAACATTAATTTTAGTGAGTAGTTAGGTTTGCTGCTACGGGGAAGATGTTGAGGTGTGTTTTTTCAATTGAAATATTGATAGCTTAGTATGAAATAAGCCAAATTGCCAAATTTGATTAAAATATATCCATAAACAAGCAAACTAGAACAGTTTATTTATTCTCCATAAGAATAACATGGGAATTTTAAATTTACAATTTTTTTAATTTTCTCCATAGTCAATGAACATTCAAAAAAACTTCAATATACTAAATTATTTGTTTTTTTAAGCTCTTCAAAATGGTCTAGAGAGAAATTTAGAGTTTTTAGGGACAAAAATGAGAAAAACCCATTTTTACCCCATAAAACCCCCCATAAACCCCTGATCCCATGGTCTGATTATGCTGGTTTGCGAACTCGTTCGAATAAATGTAGGTTTACACGTTTGTACCGAATTTCATCAAAATCGGATCAATTTTGCTCGAGTTATCGCGCTAACGGACACATATATAAATATATATATATTTATATATATTTATTTATGAATTTGATATATATGAATATATGAATATGGACATATATGAATTTGAACGGATGGTGTTTTTGGCCTCTGGGGACCTCAAAACGAAAAAGTAAATCGGTCCCGGGTCTAGGTCTTACCATGAGACCTACGGTAATAGCTTATTCCCTATATGGGAAATTCGCTAAAACCATTGTGATAATCAATTTAAAGTAAACAGTATCAGCTTTATTCAAAATACTATATTCCATTTTTATGGGAAAATCACACAAGTTACGATAACTTTTGAACCGTAATTTATACTGTAATGGAGGTTGTGCCATTTTATTTAGAGTTAAAAGGGCTATAAACATAAAAAATTAATCAAATTCGTTTGAGACAATTTTTATTCTACTTTTTCTGTAATTTTTTAGAAAAAAATCACCATTAAAATCAAAACTCCTAAAATATAAAAAAAAACTACAGGAAATACGCCCAAATACCAAATTTTTTCAAAATCGGACCACAGCTCTGTACACATCCACACACAGACTGAAGAATTACTTTTTTGGGTTCATGGGGGGGGGGGGGGGGGGGGCAAAACGGATATATCCACCCAAAACACAAATTTTGACAAAAACAATACTTTCTCCATAGACTAAGAATAGGGGGAGAAAGTAAAAATAATTTTTAAAATATCTTATATAAATTGCTCCATACTCCATTAAAGAGGTGACCTCAATTAGCTTGATTTGATTATCTATTTGTTTCTTATAGTAAAGTAACTGGGGACCGAGCTAATTTTACCTTGCCATTGTGACAACTTAAGGAGAATATATTATTTTAGCGAATTTCCCTATAGGGAAGTAGCTATTACCGTAGGTCTCATGGTAAGACCTAGGCCCGGGACCGATTTACTTTTTCATTTTGATGTCCCCAGAGACCAAAAACACCATTCGTTCAAATTTTTATATATCTATCTATATATATATATATATTAAAAACCAAAAACATATTTAACAAAGTACCCTTTTAGTAATTATTTTATTTTTCATGACAACATGTTTCGGAGACTAAGTCCATTATCAAGTCATTTTTACCATAACCTCATTCTTTAAACTAACAAAATCACAAAATATAATCATACTAGCTGTTGTACCCGTGCTTTGCAACGGGAAGAGGACACAAAATAGAAACATTTTAATCTTTACATCTTTTGCATATAATAGTTACACATCCGCCAATGCTTTTAGAAACAAAATTCAACTTTTATGGCCTTAATAGAAACGTTTAAGTTATGACTTTTAAATCTGGTAAGTAGTGGATACCACCATTTTGGTTTTGATTAATTTTAAATCTTGTGTAGGCTGATATGAGAAAAACGGACCAAATCTTGGAATGAAACTTTGACATACATGATTTACCTTCATCTCCCTTGATTACATATCTTTTAATTTATTATTAACATTTTAAATTTCAATTTTGAAGTTGCAAAAATACTAATTATTAAATTTAAATGAACATTTTTTTAAATTTCACTCTTCTTTGTATTAAATCACAAATCCTTCCATCTTCAGTTTCTTCACTCACAATAAATCATTAGAAAAACTAAGTCAGCTGTTTTAAACTTTAGAAATATTGCTGTGCCTTATCAATACAGTCCTTTGAAATATTAAAGAAACTATGTCTATAGGTACTATAAAAATTTTTAAACAAATAATTTAGCATTAAAGACACCGGACAAAACTAATATGACTATCAAAGCATCAAGGACTAAAAAATTTAATAGCAAATACAGTATATGTTTCATTGCATCTCTGATTCTACTCTACAAAAATATCAACAAACAACTTAATATACAAACCAGTTCTTTTAATCAGTTCCATCTCCATTGCCTTTACATTTTCACACTTACCATTAAGTAAACATAGTAACAGATATTTCATTGATTTTAGAAACAAAAGAACAATGTGTACTGCTTAGTTTTATGATATTTTCCTTGGTTTAATTTAATCAGTCGTGTTGCAAAAAACACAAATAATAAATGTATGAAATAAGTAAATGTGAACTGAAAGCTATGTTAAGATAAAATAAGAGTATTTTGTATTACCATTTGTATAGTACCACATATACAACAGATTTTAGAAAAAAAATAAATGACGTACAATTTAGTTATTGATTATATTCTTTAAGCATAGGTTTAGCAAAACACAATATCTTAATTTACCTAAATATACATACATATAAAAAACAATGTGATGTGCAAGTTATGTTAAGTTAATCTAACACATGTTGAGCACTTTCAGATGCTTTAAAAAATCCAAAGCAGAGCCGGAGTTGATACAGCAACGGTTATAGAATCTTTTTTTTCTATAATCATTGACATAGTTTTAGAATAAATAATCCATGATAAAAGGTTAGATTAAAATAAATCTACCTCATAGTTATGGAAAATTTTATATTTTTTAATTTCTTTGTATCAGCTGTCTGAAATTGTGAAATATGCAGTTTAGCAGTTATTCTTGTTTACATTTAAATGTCAAAGCAAATGTAAACAAACATTGTTAGTGTTCTCATGGCAGCCATGGAGACCAATCAATATTTACTTTTAAAATCCTCACATCAGAACTTTTAAAGCCAAAGGGGCAAAGCCCGCGGTCAGTGTCGAAGTGTGAATAGTCCTATAATGGTCCTTGGTAGGGTAGCTATATTTTTTTAAAGTTTAAGCCCAGTTGGTTCAGTAGTTTTTGTACCTATTAGTAATACACATACAGACAGACACCATTAGATTTTTATATAATAGTATAGATGTAAAAATAATAAAATATAACATATGTTAACTAAATCTTAATAAATTTTGGTATTAATTTTTCACTATACTATATGAATGTTTTTCTTTCTTTCCTTAGTTTTTCAATTTTATCGTAGATAGGTTGGTTTAATTTTGGAATCATTGTGTTAAGTATGTTGTTGGGGTCCTTTTTGTTGTGTATATAAATATTTAGCTCGTCTTTTACATTAAGTTTCTCACGTCCTTTTTCATATTCTATATTTTAATATTAACTATATTATATAGTTTAAAGAATGAGGTTATGGTAAAAATGACTTGATAATGGACTTAGTCTCCGAAACATGTCGTCATGAAAAATAAAATAATTACTAAAAGGGTACTTTGTTAAATATGTTTTTGGTTTTTATTATATTAGTAGCCCTAAACATGCAAGAAAATAATATAGCCCTAAACATGCAAGAAAATAATATATATACAGGGTGAGTCTTCTAAGCTGTCCTAAACAGATTACATACGAACGGCTTGACATACAGAGATGAAACAAAACTTTTCCCGACTAATTCATACCCAAGGAACAACGTAAAAATGTTTTTACCATTTTTAAAATACAGGGTGTTCAAGAAACTAGGGGTCATGGGTTCGAATCTCAGAGTTTTCAAATGTAAACATATGTCATGTTACGCATCATTTTAAAGCTCTAGACTAGACAAACAATTTAGTGAAAACAGAACTCATTTATCTTTGTCCGTTTCAAAATGGCGGCCATTTTTAAAGAAAATATTGATACTTACTGAATACCCTGTATCTTGAAAACCACTAAACTTATTTTCGTTCTGTTTGAAAATTCTTAATCCTCGTAGGTTCAGCTTTAATTTGATATATGACAAGTCAACATTTTAAAAACTAAATATTTTTTCTATGATTTTAATTTTTTTTTAACTTGGTAGCCTTGTAAATGAAAATTTTCAAATGGCAACATATGTAAAATTGTGTATAATTTTGAAGGTCTTGTAAAAACAAACAACTTTTAAATTTAAACCTACCGTCTATCTTTGGTCGTTTTCTAGTAATTAACCAAAAACTTCAATTGCCCATATAAAACCCATGTTAAACGCACAGTACCATGGGAATAGTATCTGCATCCACTAATCTTCAGTACTGCACGTTTAACATGGGTTTTATATGGGCAATTGATGTTTTTGGTTAATTACTAGAAAACGACCAAAGATAGATGGTAGGTTTAAATTTAAAAGTTGTTTGTTTTTACAAGACCTTCAAAATTATACACAATTTTACATATGTTGCCATTTGAAAATTTTCATTTACAATGCTACAAACTTAAAAAAAAAATAAAATCATAGAAAAAATATTTAGTTTTTAAAATGCTGACTTGTCATAT